ATTGTGTATTCACATAGTATGAAAATATAAAAAATACTTTTAACATTTTCATACTATGTGAATACACAATGTGTAATGAGTCTAATGCCCGAATACTCATACGCTACTCAATTATAAGTCGCGATTAATTATACTTCTGTCACTACAAATTCTTTGTAAAATGACAGAGACAGCACGATATTTAAGTGTTTTCAGTATTCGGGCGTTATATTGATATCCATAGAACTTCTGTTTTATAGTAACATTTGTCACAATACGTGGGATTTTCACCATTCAGAGGTCTCAACGCAATGTAGACAAAATGACTAAATTATTTTAGCTAGTTCTTAATAACCATTTTTTAATTTTTTTTTAGGATAAACAATCCTATAGATGACGAAAGTGGAAGGCGTCCTAAGATACTTTCTATGAAGGAAAACTTGTATCATCTGCAACAGAAGAAACTTAACAAGGAGTTTCCTTGGGATGTAAGTAATCTATATATATAAAAGAAAGTCGTGTTAGTTACACTATTTATAACTCAAGAACGCCTCAATCGATTTAGATGAAAATTGGCAGGGAGGTAGCTTAGAACCAGGAGACGGACATAGGGTACTTTTTATAGAATACTTTTTTTTACTTTTTACCGAAAATAACGACGGGAACGGGGGCAAAATGGGATTGCGAGTACGAAGTCGCGGGCAGAAGCTAGTTTTATATGAAAATAAATAAAATGTGCTTTGTGTAATAAACGTCTTAGTAAGCCTATATACAAATATTACAAACGAATTTTATGCTAAACTACATCCGCGCGGTTTCACACGCTCTGCTCAGCTCCTATTGTTCGTCGCGTGATGTTTTATAGCCTATAGCCATCCTCGATAAATGCGCTATCCAACACAAAAATAATTATTCAAATCAGACTTGTAGTTACGGAGATTAGCGCGTTCAAACAAACAAACAAACTCTTCCGCTTTATAAAATAGTATAAGATACTGAAAGGTTTAAAATTGATTGACAATTATTAATTTTATTAATACGCTTCCCATCAAACGTTAAAGTTTGGCGAGTTTAGATTTAAGGCAATACCTATGTAAAATGTCAATGAATAAATTTGATTAAAAAAAAAATATATTCGTATCGTATCATAAAATACATTTAATCGGCAATGACGATTAAATACGGAACTTATTTATTTAGTGAAAAAAAAAACTTTAATATTCAGGTAATTAGAACGTTCAGCTTTCTCGTAAACTATTTGAGAATGCTCGACTACTTTCGAACCACAACCGGGGTTCATAATTACGAGCACAAAAAGTTGTTCACAATTTGACATTATATTTCGATTACCAGGACAAAGCGGAGCCGCTAGATATAGAACGTAATCTTTCGACTGTGACGGTGTTGGATGTGGAATGTTACGACGAGTTTGTGTCAGCTCCATTAGTATCGACGTCGCATTACGACATACAACCTCCTCGACAAACTGTGTTCCACTCCGCCGCTATATCAGCTGCACCAGCCGAGTAAGTATTATGTTATACTATAGATAGATTATGATAGAGCACGTTTAATATTATTTTCTATTACGCACATTTATATTGACTGTACGTTTGGCGTAGTGGTTGGGCAACTGGCTGCCGCGCAACGTGTCGCGGGTCCGATTCCCACACGGAACAACTCTTTGTATGATCCACAGATTGTTGTTCCGAGTCTGGGTGTCATGTGTATGTGAACTTGTATGTTTGTAAACGCACCCACGACACAGGAGAAAATCGAAGCGTAGGGCAAAGTTTTTATAAAATATATGTTTTCGACGTTATTCCAAAGCAATACAAGTCAAAATCTTTTGAAAATACAAGGTTGACTAAATTTTTATGGGAGTCAGGCCATTTGTATATTAAGGTAAATGGTCATGATAATGTAAACAAATTTAAGTTGTGACTGTGTCTTTTACAAAGATGCATGTAAAAATTAACATAACATAACATCACGCCTTTTATCCCCGAAGGGGTAGGCAGAGGTGCACACAGAAGTAACACCCACTTTTCACTATTTATGTTATGAGTCCCATATAATAGGGGGTGAGCCTATTGCCATATACCGTGGCCCATTTCCAGACTCCGTGCTGCTACTGAGGATTTTTTAAAAACCCAGTAATACTTTGCCCGATCCGGGAATCGAACCCGAGATCCCTTGCCCGGTAGTTGCACATACAACCACTAGGCCAATGAAGCAGTCAAGTTCCAAGAACCACTTTATAAAATTTTCTAATATTTTAGATACAACGATCAGATTAAAATCCTCAAAAGGACGACAAAAGGCACTAGTCCTGAACTACGAGATGTTATAGCAGCACTAACAACTATCAAGTCACATGACACGTTCGATTTAGAACGGGTGGAGACTTTGGGAGACTCCTTCATGAAATTCGCAGCCAGTCTCTACCTATACCATAAGTTCCCAACCCTTAATGAAGGACAGTTAACAAATATAAAAGGACGATTGATAAGCAACAGGTAATAATAATAATCTTAATTTATGTAAAGCTCACGATTTTCTTATGTTTTCTGATTATAGACTCTAAAGCTATCAGATTTAAAGTGTAAATTAGCTTGGACATATTCACAAATATTTTTGAGATGTTAAACAAAACTCAATGACAATTTAAACTAACTCGCTTCGTAACTCTACAAGACGTCAACTTAAACAAAAAGTATGCCATAAATCTTGTCATAAAGAGAGAATAACAAAATTATACTTTGCCCCACCCTTGCCGAAGATTATGTACTTAAGAAAATGTACTTCATTCAATAATAAGCTTTCAAACAATAGTAATAAAAACCACTATTCTATTTCAGAAACCTTTACTATGCTGGAGAAAGGTTCAATCTGGCTGGAAGGATGAAGATAGAACATTTTAGTCCAAGGAAAGATTTTATGGTGCCTGGCTTCTTCGCGCCGAAAGAAGTTGAAGAATTCATAAAAGAAAAGGAGGTATGTCTATTTCATATTTGGTTGAATAAAACTAAGGAAATATCGATAAGGATGAAGTTTGTTTTTACTTTTCCCTGTGCCTAAATTGTTCGAAGTTCTATCATACAGAGAACACTTAACCTTTATTATTTTTTATATGCTATACAATGTTGTAGTAGTTTTAAAACGCCCGCTTCTCATACATGAGAGTGAGGGTTTTTGTGTGACCAATGTGACCTTTTCCGAGTTGCAATTACTTTCTAAGATTGTTTAGACATCACTGACAAACGATGGAAAACATCGTTAGGAAACCTGGGCTTATAATTTCTAATTTTAAATTTGAAATCACCAACCCGCATTGAGTGATTAATGCTCAAACTTCTGCATGCGAGAAGATACCTCCGGTCAGCAGCAGTCAATTATAGGCTGGTGATGATGTTGAAGGACAAAATAAAACAAGTTATAAGTTAAAATTTCAAACGTCTCAATTCTTTCTTTTTCTAATAAAACATGCATTCTTAAATAAATACAAAAATATTTTAATTCGTGTACTTACATTTTTACTAAAACTATCTTTTAAAAGGCAAAAACCAGCCAATACCGTTAACCTCTTCAAATTCAAATTCAAATTCAAATTCATTTATTTGCAAGAATACATATTTACAAAGGAAGATCTTACAGCCTCAAAGTCATTGTATTCTGCCTGCGAGCAAGCGTGCAAAGTATTGTATGTCGGACTCACTCTTGTATGTCGGATCGTGACTACGCGAGACACAATGCGTTTTCAATTGTGTCTCTTACCTATATCGACAGACAAGAGGTTGGTAGCCCAAGCTGTTGCATAAAACTTTTTAAATATCCTTGAAACAATATCAGCAGTGTAAAACATTATATTTTTAGTATGATAATTTAATTTTGTGCAGTAATAAAAGCTATTTTTTCTGTTGTCGACAAATCGCGATTTTGCAACAATTATAATATAATCTTTATAACAAGTTTAGCCGGAAAACAACAAAACCAATAAAGTTTAAACTCTCATTTTCTAAGTAATGTTGTTAAAAACTTATTGATATTTTCTTAAAACTAATGTAAGACTACATAATAAATATAAAGCCAAGAAAACAAGATTGTTTAAGGCTGTGAGTGCCAATGGCAAAGCGTTCGCTAACTTCGCGTCGATCACCGGTGACTTAACGTGTTCACCGACAACAAAAATTATGTTATCTATTTAAAAGAAATACGACGAACTACAAAGTCCACTCATTTCTATCCTACTGTATTTCATCAAGGCATTTGAAAATTGATATACAAAGGTAAGAATACAAAGTCGACTTTGGCATGGCCGTGGCAAAAGGTGTAAACCTCGTTTTATTGACTTTATTTTTAAAATACTTAACACTATCCTCAAATACTTGACAGTTAGCAGTCTTTCTAATTACATACAAGGTTATTTTAAAAACATTAATATTATTTTAACCAACATTCTGTATGATTTTCTTAATTTACATTTTAAAACTGGAATTCTTCAAGGAGTTGTTTGGGGATTAAAAAGTGAAAAATAAAGGTGTCTTATACAATTTAAAACAATTTTGCATTTTTTTTCGGATGAATACTTAAAATGTAACAAATACTGATTGACTGATTTATCCATTTTTACTCGAGTATTTATTCATAATAATGAAGAAATACCCAGTATAATCCGAAAAAATGTGAGGACATTTTTACATACTAGATATGAGGATATCTAGTCTAGTTACAAGTTCAATAGGATACTTAACGGATAGGAAAACTATGCTTCGCCTTTTATAATTATGTATATCTCACGAAGGTATAACTTAAACCAATAATGTTTTAGGAATGGTAACAGAAAATCATTAATGTAATTAAAATAACATTTTACACTTTTGTTCATAAATTCTATGTGAACAATATTTTTTAATGATCCGTAACTATTTGTTCTAACCACTGGATTATAATGTTATTTAATATATTAATATATTTAGAATTACAACAAGAATCTAACTAAAATATTTACAGGTTCGTTTATACAACATTTTTAATATACAACTAATCATTATCCTTCTTATATCTAGTATGTACATTATTTATCAAAAAAATAGTATAAAAATATTGAAAATCTATAAATAAGTATTGATGACAAATTATTTTCATACATAATAAAAAAAGTATATACATTTATTTAAAAAAATATTCAGTGAATTGTTACAAATGAATTTTATTGAAATGTCGATAAATAATAATTCTAAAATCTACCTCGAATTACTTTGAAATAACATCAGGGTTTTAATACATACTTCAAAATTTTAAATCAATCATTGAATACTAATTAATAACAATAATTACAAACTTTGACAAGCAATCGATATGTCATTAACATGTCATGACGCAATGGATCACTATTGGTCAAAAAGTAAAAAGGAATCTATAATAAGTTGGTCCTTTTTTTCTAATTAGATACAAATACTTATCTTCTATTATTTTTAATGTGCCATTCAATAATTTCAATAATTTTATTATATCATTAAAATCATTGGCTGTAATGTGTATTTATAAGCCAGACGTTAAATAAATAAAAATTTCATAACAGTTATCGTTAGAAAAAAATACAGAATTTGTTACTAGATGGCGCTCATTTCACTTTACTTTTCTTTTTTATGGAACTCGATGAAGGCTTCAGCGGCTGCGAATATGTCGTCAGCAAATTCTTTAGGCGTATGTAACGCGGCAAAATGCCCGCCGTAATCGATAACGGTAGATCTGACTAAGTTCGGGAACTTGTCCCTAATTATCCAGTCAGGTTGGTAGACAACTTCGTATAGGAATTTGAGGGCAGCCATTGGAACTTCCGTTGGTATACTGTAATAGAAATAAAGATTTTTCATTAATACATCTCGTCTCGGGTTCGATTCCCGGGTCGGGTAAAGTACTACTGTGTGTTTTATAAATTGTCAGTAGTAGCATTGGACTTATAACATAAATAGTGAAAATTGAGTGTTACATTGTACAGTGGCATAATGTACACCTCTGCCTACCTCTTCGGGGATAAAAGGCGTGATGTTATGTATGTATTGTAGATATAAGTTTGCTGTTCCACATTAAAAAAAATACTTAACCGCCATACAATTTCATGTAATCGTCCTTTTTTTCAATTTGAAAAAAATCTTTATCAAGGTGTCTTTATCTTGTCAATAACTACAAGCCCATAGATAAAGTAGTCACATGTATAACAATGTTTATTGTAATTACTTGTTTACATCCACATGAAGTATCCTTGAAAAATGTGAACTCCAAATGGTAAACAACTAACTATGATACCTCACTCGTTCTTTGTATGTGTTTTATGGTTTTGTCTGGCAGACTTTTATTTAAAACTAATAGAAGTTACCTCAGTGTTTAGAAGCAAAGGCTTGAAATACAATGAAAAGTATAAAATAGAAGTTTACTGGGTGATGTTAGTCACAGCGCGTGTTGCTAATGATTATGAACCCCAATTGTTGCTTGAAACTAGTCGGACAATCTCGAACAGCGTTAGTTAGGTAAACAAATCAATATTCCGTTTCTATACAAAAGTCGAAGTGTCGAAGCATTCCCCTACAACTGAAATGAATCTCCACTTCTTAATAACTACTCGATAATAATACCAAAAATTAAACTTACTCTTGTAAAATATTTATTTCTGGGTAAAAGAAGCTTTCTGCATACAATCTCGTGGCGGTCACGACGCACTCGTTGGCCCACATGATGGTCACTGTGTCCAGCACATCGTTCAGGTCAAGGTTAGCCAGACCACCATGTGGTTTGTCCAACTGCTCACTGTTACTGCACATGGCCATTTTTTCCATCAAATAAGCCGCCAAACCAGATGGTGAATCCGTGAGGCCCACACCTGAAACAATAAATTAAGCAAGGTTTTATACGTCAAATTTTTTCTTGACCAAAGTAATATACGAACAATTCCAATAGTCATTTGACTATATACTAATTTTAGTATATTGTCCATTCCAATCAATTCAAAATCCACTCTCTAGTTACGACTACCGATTTAATAAAAATTCATATTGACCTAAAAACATTAATTGAATTTTATACTCAATAACTGTCGTCATATGGACGTGAATCGAGAAACAGTAAGTATTATGTAGTTTATTAATATACAGTCTACAATATTGTGTTGCCCAAGATCATGGCCGAGGTCTCATTTGTTTACTTACAGAACGTTGCTCCGACACTCGAGACACATTTTCCCATTTTTACCGACTTCAAAAAAAGGAGGAGGTACTATGTTCGGCTGATTGTTTTTTTTTTTTTTTTGTCACACAACGTGTTACCATTTGCATACAATAATTTAGTTCATAGAAACTCAAACCTTTTCTCCTTTAAGGAATTGACAAGAAGCACCCCAAACATGATCCTCCACATTGCATTTAAAAGTACTGTTCACAAACTTTGGGGCACTACATGACTTACCTACGCAAAGTTTCGTAATCACAACTTGTCATTACTTCTCTCCGGAAAAACTTTTTAAATAATATCTAGCAGTCTTAATGAAGCTCCAATAAATAAGTATCCTTACCTACAGTGTCCGGTTTAGTTGCCTGAATATGGAAATATCCACTTTCTCTCATTATATAACTAAAATACTTCTTCAGCGGGTACACTCTTGAATGGGCAACTGGGTCAGTGAGACGTGGGAACAATGATCCAATCAGTAACTTAACGTAGCTTATTGGCCTTGACGATACTGGCATATTACAGTGATATCTGGAAATTCAAGAAGGTTTATATGATAAATTGAGACATAGGGGAACACCAGTAGACTATTTCCAAGGTCAAATTTTGGGCAACTGCTATTGAAAAATTCCTAATGAAATACGCAATGCCATCAATTAATTGAATGATAGTCGCACTTGCGAATAGTTGATTGATGAAAACAAACAGAACAGTTGAATTCCGAAGCACATTAAATCAAATAGCGTAACGTTTGCAGCCGCCTGAACTTATGTAAATTTTTAAAATGACAAAAAATTAATTAATTTACAGAAGACAAAAAAGGTGATATTGGAAGTTCTTCTGAGCCCGAGTTCCTAAATCAAGCAAAGTATATTCCTTAGTTGATTTGCGAACTGCTTAATCTGAGTTTATATGTGACTATTCCAACATAAATGACCGAAATTTTACTTTCTACATGCCTTTTAGTGGGAATAACCGGTGGGACGATATAGATGGTGTTAGCATTACAAGATAAGATACTAAGATAAGAATTAATCAATCATATTATGATTGGTATTTGTTCAACTATTTGGTAATGTCGGTCTAGTGTAGTGTATATCTGATAAAAATTGTACTTTACCCTAATATATTTTCTGGAAATAGAGTAGCCATGTGTGTGGCAACTTGTGAGCCCCAATCTCCTCCCTGAATATAAAACTTTGTGAACCCAATCCTGAACATTAAGTTGCGCATTATAATTGCCATCTGCACTGGGTTTAGTCCTTTTTTATTCGTTCCCTGAAAAAGAAAAAAAAATCCGTTTCAATGATTGCAACATACTACATTGTGGTCGATTTTCTGATCGGTAAATGCTCCTTACCTACCGATCAGAAAATAGGGACTCTTTTATAACAGGGGATTTCATATATACTAAACGTTTGTCGTGAATCTAACTGTACACCTGTACCGCCGCCTATGAAGGTTAAAACCGAAACAGAAATTAAAAGTTATGCGTCATGTTCTTGACAAGCATTGAATACTAGTTATTTAAATTACATAAATCAGAGAGTTAAATTCATCACTAAGTTTGAAAAACCATTCCTTTAGCTGTTACTATGACGCGAAATGATGAGATCAGCAATTTAAAAAACGTTGTAATACAAAAAATCGTGATAAAAATCGAGAAGGGTAGGTACCTAATAATGCTAAAATAGTTTTGTCATGATGAGATAATTTAGACAATCATTACATAACAAAAAGCATGCAAAAAGATAACTATAAAAAGTATCATATTAATATTGAATACGGATATTCAAGAAAAACAAGAGTGTGATAAAGGAATATGTACTCAACAAGATATATAAAAAAATCTATTAATTAGGGAATGCGCCTAATAATAATAAGGCTGAGATAGAATTCTCTTTAGAATCAAAGTCCATAAAATCTAATCACATACATGTAAATGGTACATACAAAAAAGGTACATTTGTACAATGTTGCATGATCGTGGTTTTTTATATGTGTTTACTTATTCGTCTAGTCTCATTGACTTGTGATGCAATATTTTAAAATGGTGGCTATCCACTACACTTGTATTTTTTGTGTTGTCTTAGGATCTTTTTCTTCCTACGTATTCCTCCGTTACTTATTTTGAGCTCCATAAAATGTACAATGGCGAACGGCACTGTAAGATTTATAACTACATACGGCCGGAAAAAATGGAACTAAATCTAAAGAATTTCCATCGATATACATTTTTGACAAAAAATAATTAAAAATAAGTCGTAAATCGGTTATAAACTTAATCCTTGGAAACTATCTAAGTCCCTCTTTATACTTCTACGTTGGACCGTAGGTAATTAAATTCTATCGCATTCTCGATTTCATATACTATACCTACGTAATACCATTTCCTTGATGGTGACCTTCACCACGAAATGTTTTACGAAATACATACAAAAACACAATTAGCGCCGCGAATACTTATTAAAATAGTAATGGAATGTGTGAATCCAAATGCGGAATTATAAATACGAAAGCCAATTTGTTTGTTCGGAACACGTAATTGGAACAATTTTAATTGGTACAGAGATCTATCTATCTACATTTTTTCTGTAAAAGTAAAACTTGGAGGATTTTTTCTACATTGTACCTACCTACACAAACCAAATCCTCAGCACTGAGACCATGTGGTGTAATTCAATCTGTGACAATTTATAAAGCAACCGATCATTTCTACATAACCGGCAAAACTAATATTAAATTAATAAACACAACCTCATCACGACCACAGCCACGATCAAAAGCTAGTATAGAATTTTTTTTTATTATTTTATTGAGTAGGTAGTCATTCCAATTTAGATTTTAAGAGACTTCAAATACATTTACATCTATTTAATAACTACATTTAAAAACAATGTTATTTTAAAGTTTCTATTGAAGACTATTTTGACCGAGAATAGTATTACCTAGCTATTACCTAATAACACATTTACATGTGAGTGTAAATATTATGTATCAATAACTTACTTAAATGAAACAACAAATGAGTTAGAACCTCCTAGCAAATGGTAACAGACAAGTCCGATTTGAAATGAAATCGTCTGATGAAAATTGTGTCTTCTAATAACCTGTCTACCTTTCATAAAAGATACAGATGTAACGTAATTTTTAGATTCTTACCTCAGAGTACCCATACCCAGGCAAGTCCACAGCGATCACTTCAAAAACGATATCATATCCACGTTTTGGCGCAGTCAAAATGGGTATAACTTTTGCAAACTCCTTGGACGAACTTGGCCATCCATGTAACATAAGTAGCGGCAGAACTTTCTTATTATCATCTACTTTAGGTTTAACATGAATAAAATGTAAATCTAAACCCTGAATTTTTGTCTTAAAATGAGGGAATGCGTTCAAAAGTTCTGCTCTCTCTTTGAAGTTATAATCGTTGGCCCAATAGTTCAGAATGGTTTCTAAGTAATCTGTGTTCATTCCGTACTGTGCTTGTGTGCCTTCTAGTGGTTTTGTAAACCGACGTCTGTTTTTTAACCTTTGTCTTAAGTCTGCGATCATCTGTAAAGTAAAATATTTAATTTATAATCATATTTCTAAGAAACGTCGACAAGAGTTTTGTTTAGGGACATGGAAATAGATTTGTCATTATATGACCCTAAAAATTTCTACCAAAAGGTCTTTATTACTATAAAGTATTAAGGTATTCAGAATAATACCCAAGTGCGTAATAGTTATTATTACAAAGTTATCTTTACATTGGGTTTTCGATTGCGAAATTCTCAGTACGTCAGAATTGTATCCAGTGCTTGGTAATAGACTGGCCTCTTATTACAATTTGACTAATGTCGTTACTGTCTATAGGCATACATTTTACATGCATATAAACGGGATGGTATGTTACAAATTTAAATTGTTATCAAGGCACTATAACTGGTCGACTGTCGTAAGCACAAACTATTAAAAACCCTGAGGTAGACAATTTAGGCATATTAGACACTAAGATTTCTGCCTGATAAAACTGTGACTGTGTTTTTTCTAATAGTTAATTAACTTACGCTATCGTTAAAATCGATCTTGAATGGCCTAATCGAATCATCTTGTCCCTCAGTCCTAACACCGGCACCCCACCATTTTTGAAGATCTAATTCAGGTAGCTTCGATGGTTTTCTAAACATAAACTTGTACCCTATATAGATGGCTGCTAAAAGCACGATCGTTGATATGATTAACTTCATCTGAAACCAATGAAATACAAATTTACGGTTTACGCTCCAAATCGGGAGGTAGCTAGAAAAAATGTTGGAAAATCTCCCTTAACACGAGCGAAATAAAGACGGCTACTTCCCGTAACGGTATCAATAACGGTCCCTTTACATTTTAATACTGAACTTAGGGATAAAAACGTGGGCGTAGCAGAAAAGACCCAGTTCTTTTTTTTTTTCATTATATCTCTAGTGAAATGTTAAACGCCGAAAAAAAGTGATCAAACAACTGAATTTACATTTATTTTGCCAATAGTAAAGAAGTATTACCCAAATGCTACCCGGCAACATGATAAAGGCCTTCGCTGAATAGGTGTGCCGCTAGAGAATAAATTGCCTACAGTGGGTAAAATGAAAAAATACAGTTGGTAAAATTCCTCAGAAATGGTTATATTTCTAACTTAATGTAAATTGGTAGGAACGTTTCCATTAAGCTCGAAGTAGAAAAGACTGACGAAATAGTAGAAACGTAAGCTGATACCCCATATGATATTTACATGCGTAATGTTCAGTAGAAGTACAATTCAATTTCCATCGTCGGTCTCCTATATTATGGAAATGACATGGCATAACATGACTAGTATTCATATAGTTTTCATGTATGCTGAATTATTTATTATTTGTATTATTTTTAGAGGTTTCTACCTACTGCTGCTATTAGGAATTCAAATTATGGGTCATCGACATAGACTATTATACAATTATCACAAATATGGTCATTCTAGTTTGGCTAAGGCAGCGGAAATTGTAAATTATGCTGTCTATGGTAATGGGCTTGCTCTCTAATACATGGGACCGGTGGTCTGTGCATGGCTTTAGCAGCATACTATGCGTACCATGATCATTAAAAAAGCTGCACTAGTTATGGGTAGGTACTTGTAACTCTGCCTATCCTTTCTCTAGACTCGTCTAGACTTTGTTTTAAAACTATTAGTATTGTATAAGTCTTATATAGTAGGTAAGGTAACTAACTATATAATTTACAAACGATAAGTTGAAGGTAGAACGAATTCATTCCATATTAATTGGTGTTTTTCAAAGTTGTCGAATTCCTTAGAAATAGATCCGGGTCTTATTTATTTCCGGGTTTATCGTATTTTATTTGGTGCAATTTGTTTGTCGAGTATTGTAGGTACACTGCTTGATCCTTCGGGATATAAAAACCGTGATATAGTTGGTGGACTAAAAATATTGTAATTTTAAGCCATTTCATAATTATAGGAAGATAAAGAAGATTAGGCGGATCAAAGATCATACTGAAAATGCTACCTCATAGCTCAAAAACGTATTTTCTCTATTAATCATAAATTCCTGTTTACTATTTACGTAACTTTAATTAAAAAACTTGTTAGAATATTTTAAAAGTAGAAACATGTTTAAAATATAGTATTTCTTAAATTGTTGAAATATATAGGTTGTTAAAATACTCTGCCGATTATTTTGTAACACTTCTTACCCTATTATTTTGGAGGGAACGAAAACTTCGCTGTTGCCGTATTTGAACACAATGATTAGCAAATGATGTCTTAATTTCGTTTTTAATTCGGTAATTCCCGCAATAATATCAATCAAAAGTAACTGTCAAAACTTTATCTGAAACCAATACGATCGAAAATCCCTTTCACTTATTACATTACCTACATTGTGTAACAAAAATAATAAAAAAAACTCACTTTTATGTAATACACTTTCAGTCTGAACCTTAAAACACTTCACTAGTTATTAAAATAAAATAGTTTATAAACAATTAATCTTGATATCGCACACTTAAATCTTTAAAAAGATACGTAATTTTTTCGCTCACACATGGTACGTGCGATGCCGGTGATCGCCGAAATTGTATTGTGAATCTTTAATATTATGTCCGCCTCGAGTTCGGCGCACCAACCGGCGACTCATGGCTGACAGCCGGCAAACCCCCGCCCTTGACCTTATTAAAACCCTTATTGACTGTATCTTACATTCATTACTGCGTACATATATTCTGCGAAAGGAATATATTATGTAACCCTTTACCCTTAAGAGCTATAAATAGTTTACGTTGCGACATGCTTCTTAAATGTAAAGTAATGTTTTTATCTGAAATTGAAGTATTTTTGTTGAATCTTGGATCTCCTTAAAATTTTATTGTACGAGCTTTTTGATTGGTCACTACCAACACTTAACTTCTAACACTTTAGAGGATATACAGAGTGCGGACAAAGTGAAGCCTACTGATTCCTGTACGTATGTATGTACATATTGTAGGACACGGAAGAAAATGTCATTTACTTAGGGAATGTTACAAAAATAGTAATCATTCTAACGGGGACAGCTGAAATCTTTTATTCAGTGTTTACTTTTCAGATCTTTTGAATTAGAATATTATTTGTAAGTATGTTTGTATTTTGTTTGTGTAGGAGTTGCGACGATGGTATCGACGGTCAATGTCACCACTTATCTATCAGTCCAATATTCATAGATAGTAAGTACCTATACCAGGTAGATGACATGTACTGATAAAAATAAATTGAATTGTAATCCCTAGTTGATTAACGTAATTGAATAATTTTCAGTTCCAATAATTACTAGGGCTGGGATTTTATTCCTTAGTTTTTTACGGAAAATAATTTGGCGTTCTAGTATACTAAACTTTTTTGTTTTTATTTTTTTTTACCATAAGTCTCCCTTGCTCCGTTTCTGTTGTGATTCTCCACAAGGCTCCTCTAGGACTCTAAAATGTTTTATGTAACTCGTAGAAAATTGTAAAGGGTTTGTGGGTTTGTTGGGCCCAGCCCTATTTAATTAGAAAACACTTCAATAAAAAGTACCATTTGACCATAGCGCAATAAAAAAAAACAATCCAACATTTAGGTTAAAGATAGTTTTATTTTAAAACCTATAAAACAAAGTTGCTGTTTGTCCCTATGTTTGCTTAAATGTTTAAAATTACTCAACGCATTTCGATGCGGTTTCATTAGGTGTAAAATAAGTTTAGTAAACTGACGATACTACAACAATATGTCGCTCGCTCACGTGCTGCAGTATTACATTTTCTTTTTTTTAACTTAATACTTGGTTATTTTTAGTTGTATAGTAATTATAACCGCAATTTTATTATTTCAATCTATGATTGAAAAAATAGCATATAAAGACTTTTAGAGGAAATTGAAAGTTACTTCTTTTTCGTTTGAATAATTGGGTACTTGCCAAATAATCAAATTTAATACTTTTTTCGAACTGTCAAAAACGACCGTTTTTTATGAATTTTGTACGAGATTGTCCATTGTGACGTTGTGTGTGTTATTAGAGTCAAACAGCATACTTATTAAACGGTTTTTTATTAGAAAATTGGGTAAGCAAAATTAGGTTGGTAATAAAATCAATTAATAAAGTGTGATTATTTTTCAATATTTTATTGTATTGAACAGTTGAAATAATTTATTTTTGATTAAGGAAAGTATCCAATTCCTATTGTGATTTTATGGATATAATTTAGGATTTTTAGAAATTCCAAAAAACTACTACATACCTATTTAACTCGTCGAGTACCGTCATTATAGACACAATTAGGTATAGAACAATAGGTTGCGGTCACCGGTGACCGCTTGGTGTTTGACAGTTTAATTAATATTAAGATGTACCCTCTTTGTATAAACTAGTGATACTATGTAGCGCTTAAATACATTTAAGTAAAAAAGTATGATTCACAAATATGCAAAGAATTCTCAACTTACCTACCTATAGAAATTAAACTTACATTTCTTTGTTTAGTGTGATTGTATACGAGATATTTAAACATTATTGTTACCCAAGGATAATAGAATTGAACCAAACGAAATATTTCTGTGATATTTAATAAACTTAATAGGCACATGTTGATAAGAAAGATACTACTTATTAAAGTGTCTATCTGTACTACCTATCCTTTTCGAAAGTCGCGGAGAACCTAACGGGTAACCGGGGCGCCGGCTCGACGTGCAGGAGAAGGAACGGGGTGGTTTTTAGTCAGTAAGAGTCTGACACTCCCTCCCGCCTCACCCAGGCGGGAGCAGTCATTCGATTAGTTTCCCCCATTAAAAAAACGCACGCAAGATCGTCCGCAGCCCCGATTTTTTGTACTATCTACCTACATTAAAATTATGAAGAGAAAAGGTTTGTAGAACCGATGTATATCTTATCACATGAACAGCCTATAAGTGCCCACTGCTGACCAAAGACCTCTTCTCGCACGGAGGAGGTTTAATCACCACGCTTGCTCAATAAATTCCAACTATGGAAATTATAACTCGAAAAAGTCACATTGGTAGATTTCGAAGCTGCCGTTGGTAGATTTCGAACCCGTACTCTCATGCATGATAAGCAGGCGTCCTAAACATCCGACGAACAGCCACGGCAATGGCGGGCCACCACGACATCACTGATTAAAATATTTTTGTTTATTGGTACAACAAGAAAATAAATGTCGTTTTTGATATTTTCAATTTTTTTCAGATCCGTCCAATATTTCTGATCGGTGTGCAGTTCCCAAGGGATGAACTCCTTGACGGTAAATTGTCTGAAGACAGTATGAACATGGTGAGGGACAAATTTACAAACGATAGTACTGCGGAGACTGAACCACCAGAGAAAGTTCAGAATGCTATGCAACTGTACGTACATTCTCAAGCTGTCTCAGATAAGGTGAGTGGTATGACTTTTTTCTTTTGTAAGAAAAACTAAGTGTGGGAGAGCCATGCTTCGGTACGAAAGGGCCGGCTCGACCGGAGTGATACCACGGACTCCCAGAAAACCGACGTGAAGCAACGCTTGCGTTGTATTTAGTCGTGTGAGTGAGGTTACCGGAGGCCTCCTCTTCCCCAATCTCCCCAATCTCTGAATCCCCAACGATCCTCAAACTCCTAATCACAAAAAGGCCGGTAACGCACTTGTAACGCCTCTGGTGTTCCAGGTGTCCATGGGCGACGCCGATTGCTTACCATCAGGTGATCCGTCTGCTCGTTTACTGGCTTATGCCATAAAAAAAAATCGTTCGTAAGTTTAGGATTTTCTCCAGGGTCGTGGACTCGTGGACCACCACTACATTACATACATACCAAGTACGGTAATGGAACGCATAAGACGTTCGTATCAGTCGATTACCCAGCCCTTGTGCACAAACGTACAGCCTCTAACGTAGTAGCTTACTAAGTGTGTTTTTAAATACATTTTAAACACAGTTCAAAGCCCTCCCCTTACGTTACGTCACTACTGACTTTAGTTACTACCTATAAAAAAGATAGAGTAACACTATAAATAATATAACTGACAACCGTCAATTAACCGGCAGTATAATAAATCGGGTCAACAAGAAACAAAATGGTTAAAATATTCGTTTATTTAAACAGCTTTAGCAGCTAGAACCAGACTAAACTGGATATTAAAATAACTCATAGGCTTCTTTGAACTAGATGGTTCTCGTGGTTTCACTTGCTAACTATTTTTGAATGTCAAAATCATTCTAATGTTTTCTTTTGAGAAAAATTGTTGAAAGAATTAAAATTAAATTCAAATTAATTATTATGTTTTCGGCTTATTCACGTAACTGTTTGACGAGGACCTCGACTGTTACTGAATATGAGCTTCTAGCATGGCTTGAAACTAGTCGAGTTCCTCGTCAAACAGTATGTCCCACGAAAGTTATAATTTAAACATAAAATTCAAATGTCGTCAGCAAAATTTTTTGGAATGATAGATACTATAAAAAAACTGGTCAACTTCTCGTAACGTGGACAACTTATTTTTACGAGGGTTAGGAAGTTTTATAGGTAGGTAATTGAATCATTTTAAACTTTGTCAAGTAGTGTTATATTTGTTGGCTAGTGTGTAGTAGTGTTATTTAACTCGTCGTGTGTCTAAACGCGGATCCACGCGAGACACGATGTAATTTCTATTGTGTCTCATATCGGTGCATTCAAGCAGTTAAAAAAAACGAAATCCTTTTATGTATAGTACCTACATATTATGTATTGAAGACCATAATGTTTACATTATAATATAAATATCTATAGGTGACCAGTATAGTCAGTAGCACTGGTTTGAACTAATATCCTCTTTAACTTATTTTAACAGATGTTTGCATGTTAATAGATTACGTTCACAGTCACAATGCATTGATTGCCGTGAAAGTTACTTTAGTAGTATCTTTCTGGGTCACTTGCAGAATTTGACGATTAGGTACATAGGCAATGTCTAAAAATGTTTTTTCTCGAAATATCTCATTTTTTTGCTTTGTAGGTACTTTAACTTTTACTTTGGGTGCCTACTGATTTTTTTTATGTATAATGGTAGGTACTTTGTTAAGTTCTTTCTTTAGTTTATTTCATACTAAAGTGCTCAATGATGACCCACTTTCATTGTCCAATCTATTTTATACGACACCGATATTTTAGTTAGGCTTTTACTGAATTCGAAATATTTAATTTTATTAAACTTCTTTCTCCTTTTTTGACAAAAATACAATTATTATTCACTCTATTTTAACATGTATAAGATTTAAAATATAGTCGGAAAATGAGATACGAATGCTTCTGCAATTCGCAATTACTGTTTTTTTTTTATGAATGATTGAGTTACGTTGAAAACAAAACAAAGTATTCATGTTTATATGTATTCATAAAAGAGTATATTCATGTTTTCCTTAAACATAATATTATTTTTATAGACACTTTTTTAACTTATATCTTTTTGGACATTTATAAGTAATTAAGATTAAGATAGCATAATATTTTTTGCCAAAAAAATAAATGAACGTTTTTTGGAATGGACTAATTACTTACACGTGTTGAGAAAAATCAGGATTATATGCTAATCTTGGCATTCCTACTTTAGAGTTCACGGGAGTACCGTTAACGACGTTATTTTAAGTAAGTAAAATATTATTGAGAGTTAAGTTTTTCAGTCCGAACCATCTTAATCAGTTCCTAAAGTTCCGTACACTACGAAATTATAACATACATATGGGATTTTTTTGCTAATCATTTCATCTCCAAAAAAGCAAAATACACGTCGAAAACCAGAAAAATCCGGAATTCAAGAAGTAATACATATATTTTTTTTTGTTTACTTTAAAAAAATAATGGCAAATAAAAGTAATTTATACATAGATTTTTAGCACTATCTTTATTTACGCAAAGTCATTTAGAATTATCTAAATATAAAAAAAAAAATGTGTCGAATTCTAATTATTATCAATAAACATTTCGTTTTCCCGTCATAAAGCAGAGCACGCGTTTATCTAATCTTTAGTCCATGTTTATTTTATTTATTTATTTTCTTCTTCACAAAACATAACAGTGAAGTGCGGACTTAATGCCTTAAGGCATTCTCATTCATGTTTAATGTGTACAACTAATAGATATTATTCCAAACTAATTTATGGATGACATGACAGGAACGAATTTTTTTTGTCATTAAAAAAAATTGGGCACAAGCTTATAATTGAAAACCAGTTGTCACGCACATAAAATATCTATAGAGGAGATTACTATCATTTTGGGATTTTATTGCGATTTACGGAACTACGGAATCGCTTACACGTGTCATGCTTAATACAGGGCGCTGACATTAATTCGATTGCCGGTGTGCTAACAAGATAATAAATATGGTTTCCACGTGTAGATGTGTTTCACAATTTTTTGAGTTTATTTTTTTTTTAGTTTTAATGGTCTTTTTTTATGCCTACTTACATAATATTAGATAAGTTTTTTGGAATTATTTTAATTTATGAGCGTTATGGTTTTAAGCAACCATTACTGTTTATAGTTAGTGCTTTGACCTTTTTTCTTATTGCAAAATGATGCAACATGTAAGATTTTTTGTTTAGTTAGTCAAAGCACCCCCTATTTTTAATTAGTAGAGGTGGTTTTTAGTCAATAAGAATCTGACACTCCCTCTCGCCTCATCCAGGCGGTAGAAGTTATTCGATGATTTTCCCCCTTAAAAATGTAATTATAAAAAGTAACGCAATCCCAATAACTATTGACTGAAAAGATTCATTTTCATTACAATATCTAAAATTAGCAACTACTTTCCTATGTGTAAATTAATATAAACAGAACCACAACAATAGAAAAACAATATACCTACATATTTAAAATTCACGCTTTATTGATAAGTGACCGACTGACTCATAGACGACACACAGTCAAAACTATTAGACGTAGAAAGCAGAATTTTATCATACATATTGGTTTTCGGGATACTACCTATGTAGCGTAGTATACGGGGTAGCACTATGAAAAAAATAGTTTAGGTACCTTACATCATATAAACTTATATGACACAAAAAAAAAACATTCAAAGAAAAATATCGAAAACTGGCGAAATAATATCTACCTTTTAGCTTGTAGCTTGCCTTGTAGCTATTATATTTTTTTGGTGACAGGTTTTTAGTGAACAGTATAAATAAATTCAAAAATAAGAAAAAAAATGCTAATCATTAAGTATGTTGTAAGCATCAAATTAAATGGCGCCTGGTTGGCAATCTGGTAACAACGACGAAGTGTAAACATAGCATTATGCTAAATATTTATCCCGAAGTGGCAAGCAAAAGAGCGCCTTATGAAACATAGGAGTCTATATGGCCAACCATAGATACAATTCTAAATTCAATTTTGAAAATCGAACACACTTTTAATGATAAAGTGTCCAACCCCCTCCGCAATAGCTTTCGATCATCGACCAGTGAAAATAACGATTAAGGACCTAAAACTGAATGAACTGCTATTATGTCAAGTAAATAATACCACGGCCTTTTGTATTTCATTAACAAATAGTTGGCTCGCCTAGTGTAAATGATTGATAATAAAGATCAAATCAGGTAGGTTCTTGAACTTTGCAAGTTGATTGGACAATGCGTTGTCCAGCGATGACTCACTGTCTTATTAAAGCGAGTTATAGAACGAAGTTGTCTCTTTAGATTGGCAAAAATGTATGCTTATGTTCGAAGTCAAATTGAAACACACGGCACTCCATGTGTTTCAGGCTCAGGTTGGATGAGTAGCTGACCGGCTACTGTGCAGCGCGTCGAAAAAAAAGTGCTAATGAATTTTCTAAATATTAAAATGATCATTTGATATTTCATTTTTAATCTTCGCAGATCTCCAATCCGGAATCCAGATTTTGTCCGTTTTATTATTATTTTAATTGTGCAACTCCAATAGACTAGCTTATTTTCAAACTTTGGAGACAATTTCTGATCCTATGCCACTACTACTTATGGAATTTTAAAATAGTAATAAAACGAACTTTGACTTATACTTGACATAACATCTCAAGGACTATCGCATTTCCATCAGTTCACCTTCATCGCATCACCACTAAAACGACAGGGTGGACTACACTGATGGGATAGAAATACTCAGTAAATTAATTATCTAGGTACATGTATTCTTTCTTTCTTTACAGTCGGTTGCAGATTGCGTGGAAGCACTCATCGGTACCTATCTACTAAGCGGCGGAGTATTGGGTGCTGTCAAAGTGCTTGAGTGGATGAAAGTCATACCTCCACAGGTTTGTAATAAATGTCCAGCATGCTGATGTTTTGTACTATATTTCCATCCGCTGTTTCACCAACCTTCATCGTGGATTTGGATTTAAACTCTTCCTCAAGAATATCTCTATTCATTAGTGACAACTTTTATCTTATTCTGTCTAGTAGAAAAAAAGTGTATTCTGAGCATGAGGCTCAGCTCATTGTTGGTTTAGTAGCTTAAGGGTTTGACTGCCAATAGAAAACTGTTGAAAGCAAATCCTCGGCTAACGTCGCATCGGTAGCCGGTGGCACCCATGGCGTTTAATGCGTTAAGGGAAAAATTATGAACTTGTGGACAAATTGGTTACATTTTCATGTCTACCTCATCATCAACAGTCTATAAATGACCACTGCTGAGTAAAGCCTCTTTTCACACGGAGAAGGTTTGAGTATTAATCACCACGCTTGCTCAATGCGGGATGGCGATTACAAACTTATAATTAGAAATTATAAACCCTGATTTCCTCACGATAGCCTCAGCGGTGTCTAGATAATCTTAAAAAGTACATATAACTCGGAAAAAGTTACATTGGTACTTGCCGTTAGTAGGTTTCGAACCCGCACCCTCATGCATAAGAAGCGGGCGTCTTAAACCTCCGGGTCACCACGACATTCAATGTTTACCTATTTAGTGAAAATGACAATGACCAAATTTGTATGGAGCGTGGTGCCTTTTCATTTTTTCGCGGCAGTTGATCGGATGTGGAAAAACTGATGCAGAATAACATTACAAACAAAAAAAGATATGGGGTCTTATATCAAAAACGCAGTCCAAATCGAGTTAAAACAGTTCAAAGATGTGGAAATAGTGCTATATTATCCCTGTGATTTTGTGGATGGTGACCGTACACAACGCATATTTCTTCATTTACTTGTCAGAAATATTTTGTTATAATATAAACGATTTCAAGGAGCATAATAAAGCTTATTGTGGACTTTTTTTTTTGTTTTTTTTTTTTTGTTATAAGGCCACTGAATCAGAACAGAGTGAACCATTCAATGACCACTGCTGAAGAAAAACAAACATTTCGCTTGATTGGCTAGCGTGTTCAATTTATATGTATACGGTTTATGGCCTTTTTTTTGTTGACGGGGAGAAACCTTCCAAAGGCGCCTAGCTTTTTGGGGAAAAAGACTAGGGAGTGTGGGATTTTTACCTCACTAAAACCTCCCCGGTGACTACCATCCGCACTTGAAGGATGCACCGGGTCCTCTTAGTAGACCAACTCCGGTGCCCTCATAGTGCAACGCCTGTTACGGCACCTCCCTATGGAGACCTATGTGTTTCTCCTAGAGCCTCTCTGTGCACTGCACGGCGGCACGTGACCACTGTGCCGCCGTCATCCTTGAGGTCATTAGGTGGGCGCCTAGATTCCCCACTCTATGCGCCCATGACCCCAAAGGTTTGCCTACCAATATTGTAGGCAGGAAATCAACATATTAGGCGCCGCGGCGGTTATTTACGGTTTATGGTCTATGACAGATTTTCATGATCAATTTCCTCTCAGTCAAAAACCCGCAAAATACTTTACTGAGCCCTATCATGAAATGCTATGTTTGTCAGCTGCGGCGTCGGTAGCGGATTGAATAGCGCTGATCACTTTAAAAGTCGACGTTTTCTTTCTTCAAAAGATTATGCTAACTATTAAGTAGATGAGTGTCCCATCAGGAGTCAATGACAAAAAAAAATATACTTTATTAGATGTTTGGACGGCTACCACTACTCAACCCACCACTGGTACCACAGCTGACACTCATGAAGCTTCATAATACAACTCCTAGAAGCATCCCACAAGTTATCGACTGAGAGAAAATAGGTAATAAAAATTAGTGCCTGGCAATATGAATATATTGTGGTGTGATATGGTTTTCCTGTGCCCGGAGTATAGTAGCGCGCAATTTGAAGTTAGAAATTGTGACAAAACTATGAATAATTTGAATAAAAAACCGAAGTAAAATGTTTGACCCCAGCTCCTTTCAACGCTCATAACTCAGTCCAGACTGAGATTTCCATATACAAGCCCATAGACAATTTCGTTTGTAATGTCATTCTAGATAATATTTTCCATAAATCATCGACTGCCGCCAGAAAAAAGAAAGGCACCAATTTTAATCAATGCCCTTTCTATATAAAGACTAAAGTCAAAATACATTAATAGTAACATTATACCTCTGAAATTAATGATGATTGTGGTTATCTATTAAATCGAAGTTGTTGTCTAAATTACTGTGATAATTTCTTTCATGCGATCACGCGTTGTTTTTATATTTTGTTGCCTACCTACTACTGTAATTACGCAAGGTGTAATCTGTAGATAAATTTCGCCCATATCGTTTTCTTTTATCGAGACAAGCCCGCTACACGTGCCCGAACTGCTAACCAAGATCTAATTGATACCTACTACATAAAAATTACCTGAACAATTAAGCCCTTGGAGTCCTATGGGCATGAAGCTATTACAACTACCAAAGAGTTGCTTTCTTCAAAAATAAATTCATCATCATCACCCAATCATCATTCGTCCACAGATGAAAAAAAGTTTTCCTTGTTTGCCACAATCCCCACAAATCACTGGCAGTTTAAAATTAACAGTAATTCTAGTGGATGCCCGAAAAAAGAAATTATTCAGAAGGTAGAAGTAAAATTACTAGATTTCGTAATCAATTCCGTTATTCGGCTCGACTTTTTATGCAGTAAAGGACAATTTTCAGATAACACGATAACATAACATCACGCCTTTTTACCCCTGCAGGGATAGGCACTTAATGCCACTGTACAATGCAACACCCACTTTTCACTATTTATGTTATGAGTCCCATGTAAAATGGGGTGAGCATATTGCCATATACCGGGCACAGTTCTGCGCTCCATTACTACTGTTATTTTTTTTTTAAAACTTCAGTAATACTTTGCCCGACCCGGGAATCGAACCCGAGACCCCTTGCCGAGTCGCACTCGGTCCACAAGGCAGTCAACAATTTTCATTATACGAATTATCTTTAACTTCATCTTCAATCAAAATTGTTTTTCTTAGTACAAATGTGAATAGTGTTTGTAAATTATAATTAAATGATTTGTTTTCAGGATAAATTCGCGGAATATTTACACAGGCGTGTGCCGACTGCTATTACAGACAAAAAGACAACTCCAGAAGACGTCAACTTCTTGCTAAATTATACCAGAAATGATGTGGAGACGATCTTAAACTATAAATTCAATGACCCGACCTTCTTGCTGGAGGTAAGCCATTTATATTCGCAAAAAAATAACGTCTAATCTAGAATATAAGCAACTACATCATCGCTTACCACCGGGCGAGATAGTGGTCGAATACCGACCTACCTAAATATAAAAAAGACTATCTACAATAGGGTAGTTTCCTAAATTTTATTTTAATGTCCGTCTGGTACATTAATTTAAAACTTTAGACACGTATTTTTTCTTTTCTCACAAAATTAAATACTTTCGACGATATATTAATTTTAAATATCTTGAGACGTCACAGCGTGTTACATTGTGTAGCACGTTATGACGTAACGACCTCCTACTCCTAAACTTAGCGCCATTTTATGTAAGTTTTGCAACTTAATACGAAAAAATACGTGTCCAATATTTTTTCATTATCTAACGGACGGACTAATTAGATTTTTAATTTTGATATTCTGAAAACTACTTATTGTCTCATAGATACTTCGATCAACAATAACAACTAGATAAAGGGTTACGTACAAAATCAAGCTCCAGTTCTGTCCGTGTGAATAATAATAGTAAAAAATAACAAACAGAGAAAAATGTTTTAAAATAGTTTTAAGTTCAACCTAATAACAACCATGGCACCTAATAATATAGTCATAAATCGTCAAAATATTATCTAATACTTACGACCATTCGTCACATAAGACAAGAAAAGTATTTTCTTACTCCTGTCATGTAAAAATTAAAAGACATAAGTTATACAATATTTAGTTTGAATTCAACCTTAAGCTCGAACAAATAAAGATAATTTTTCCATTATTGTCTTGCGATCTATATCGTTTTGTTTTGTTACGTTTTGCTTCTTCAAATTTCGAATTTCGCTACAGGAGGTATGTATGGAGTCGCGTTGGACACTAAAATAATTTTATAATATGAAAATTAAGATTTCGGGATCTTAGTATACATCACTAATTTTTATTAGCGGTACGTTTTTGTGTATGATATGTTTATTTACTTTATCATTAAAAGTCTAAGTCTAAGTCAAAATCATTTATTTCAGTTAGACCAGGAAGGCACTTTTGAACGTCAACAATATAAATTTAAAAGTGAAGCTATTTGCTCATTCCAAGGTGTAGATTCCTATGGAGAAGAACGAGCAAGAAACAATACAATTTTATTTTTCAATACAAATCGACTCGATGCATCCACTGTTCTCTTTAAACAAATGTTGGTGAGGCTTGGCCAAGGAATCGCCAACACACGCACAAACATTGGTGGCGTTGGTTTATAATTGATAATTTTGTCTAATTTGATATTATTTACTAGTTTAAAAGCTTAAAATATAACTTATACTTTATGTATTTATCAAAAGTAAGACACTCCAGCCGTTATACTGCTTTTTCGGTTGTTATTTTTGCAACTTGCAATTATGCACTGCGGCATCGTGAGACGTGAGTACGTTGGCCGTGTTTGGAGCATACTAAACAAAATAAGAGCTCACTTCTCAAGTGAGCTCTTATTTGTCGAGACGATTTTCTTGCGCTGACCCGATATCTAGTTGTTGTTGATCGAAGAAGAGATAGGTTACCTAGTTAATTTATTGCGCACCTACATAAACTACCATAAACAAAGAATAACATTTTTTGGGTAAGGTGGAATACCTATTTACAATACACGACTTCCATTTATTAGCACGTCTATATTATAGGTATACGTGATGAATTACACACGAACCTTATATTGCCTTACTAGCTTTTACCCGCGGCTTTGCCCGCGTATTCGTGTTTTATCCCATGGGAGCATTTGACCGTATATTATCCTATCAACTAAGTCGGCCCATACCCTGCCGGTATTCCAAATTTTATCAATATCCGTTCAGTAATTTCAGCGTGATTGACGGACAAACATCCAAGTCCTACCACAACGACTTACCACAGCGTAACGCATTAACAAAGCTTCGCGCTTATACCAAACATTAGATGCCACGGAGAACCTCGTTAGGTTCCGGTAACCCGTTGGTTACCGGGACTCCGGCTCGAAGTGCTGTGAAGTGCAGGAGTAGGAACAGGGTGGTTTTTAGCCAGTTAGAGTCTGACACTCCCTCCCGCCTCACCCAGGTGGGAGGAGTCATTCGATGATTTTACTCCTTAAAAAAAAATACCAAACATTAAATACCAAATTTCCATTTTAGGGATAGTGGTAAAATATGTAATCTCTGTTAATTTTCACACTGTGCAAGTGACTTGAGGATCGTTATTTAATTTACCGAAAATTAGCAGATACTGTTTGATGATGCCCAATAATGGGGTGCTACCGTATTTTTGCTCAGCAAATGGCGTAAATATAGGAAAAAAATTTGTCCAATCATAGCAACTGTCAAATATTGAACGTCCAATGGCGTGACACTACCTAATCCTCTATTGGACAAAAAACGAGAGGCTCACACTGGTGCCATCTGGTGAACAAAAATACGATAGGCCCCATTCGTGTATGATTATTAAATTAAGCAGGTACTTTGGACGGGTAAATGAATGGTTTAATCATATTGTTTTTTTTACATTTTTATAGGCCCTGTCCCACGCTTCATACATTCGCAATAGAGTGACGCGATCCTACGAACGTCTAGAGTTTCTAGGCGATGCTATATTGGACTTCCTTTTAACATCACATATATTCGAAAACTGCCGGGAATTGAAGCCTGGCGAGATGACAGACTTACGATCGGCACTCGTCAATAATGTTACCTTCGCGTCTTATGTCGTCAAACTTGGATTACATAAGTAAGTATTTAGGTACCCACTTTCCCTAATTACGTTATTCATTAATCCCCAGGTTTGGATCCCCAACTTTGACTTAATTGGCTTAGACAGTTTAACAATGTTCTACTGAATGTCAATATTTTGACATAGAGCGATCGCCATTAGCCGTTTACTTCTCGTTATAAAATACAAATATTTTAATACCAAAATAGCCTAATGAATTAGCCGTGCTTATCAATATCTACTTAGGTGTTTCTATTTTTAACAAAACGTAAAGTTGTAGCAATTTATTATAAGAAACTACTATACATTTCAGATTTTTATGTTCCGAACTGAATCCGACGTTAGATAAAGCAATTATCCTGTTTGTGGACCACCAAGTGCAGAGAAACCACGAGATCGTTGAAGACGTCCTTTATTTAATAGACGAAGAAGAGTGTAACATCGCTGAATATGTTGAAGTTCCTAAGGTTAGTAAACACTAGTTTTCTAACCATAATTAGACAGCATTCGTCTACTACTGAATAAACTCCCTACCCCTAAGAAGGCGTTCGCCTTAATCCCCATTATTGCCAGACTTGGGGATTACAGATTTTTACCGAAAGTTTAAAAGATTTTAATACCTATTGTAATTAATTAAAAACAAATTATCTGATTCTTATTTAGGTATTCTGGGCTACATAGTACATTGTTAGCTTAATATAGATGAAGCAATTTTCAAAATTGGTTTGAACAACTAAGTATAAGAATAACGAGTAGCAAGCTAAAATAAATACAGGATTACGTTAAAACAAATATCAACTAATAATTAAGACTAACAGCATGATTATAGCACAAAATATTAGCATTCGTTGATACTGACCCAACTAATAATAAAAGATGGTGCAACACTATGAAAATCGTTTATAAGTAATTTAATAATTTATTCATGTGTTTTTACCATATTCAGATTTCCTATAAAACGAGTAAACCTATTAGAATTTAATAATGTACTACCTTACTTTGTTTTTATAGCGGCATCTAAATGTTCTATAGTGTATAAAAATAGGAACCATTTAAAATTATATTATTAAAAATAAAAAAGATTCGTTGATAGATATGGATTATAAACTTGTTTTGTTATTGCGTTTATAGAAAATATTACAAGATTTGATTGAATTACGAGTCCAATTACGTTATCAGTCAACATCTAATAAAAATGTAATATACTTCGTTGCTAGATGCCATAAAGTGTAGGACCGAGTGCCATGCTTCTGCACGAATGGGCTGCCTCGACCGGAGTGAAACTACGTCCTCACAGAAAACCGACGTGAAGCAACGCTTGTGTTGTGTTTCATTATGTGAGTGAGGTTACCGGAGGCCCAGTTACCTCTCTCCTCAATCTCAACAATCCTCCTATTCCCCAAAAGGCCGGTTACACACTTATAACACCTCTGGTGTTTCGGGTGTTCATGGGCGGCGCCGATTGCTTACCATCAGGTGATCCGTCTGCTTGTTTACCGGTTTATTCTATAAAAAAAAATGATCGTGAGCGATTTTACGCATACTTCAATTATTGATCCACCGACTACTGCGCAATATTAAATATATCTCAGATTCATTAAAAAATAATTGTATAATCCACAAATAAATTGTTAATATGGGTCGGAGTCGTTAATGTATCTAATATCCGCAATTTGACGTTAAAGACACCCACAATTTGAAAGAAAGCAATGATTTCAAATATGAGTGTGGGAGAGCCATGCTTCGGCACGAATCAGCCTGCTCGACCGGAGGAGACCACGGGCTCACAGAAAACCCACGTGAAACAACGCTTGCGTTGTGTTTCGTCATGTGAATGAGGTTACCGGAGGTCCAATTACTCCCTTCCTTAGTCTCCCGAATCCCCGAATCCTCCACAATCATCAAATTCCCAATTCCCAAAAGGCCGGTAACGCACTTGTAACGCCTTGGTGTTTCGAGCGTCCATGGGCGGCGCCGATCGCTTACCATCGGTCGGTGATCCGTCTGCTCGTTTCGTTCTGATCGTGACTAGCCGGAAGCTGTACAATATTTAATAAAAAAATCTGTTGACCCTTTGTTTAAAACTGGACATAATCCCCATACTTGGCACGGGGATTGCAAATGGTCAATGCAAGTTAGATGGCAGGTGATCACTCAGTGGCTGATCTTTGTTTGAGGGCAAAGTCCAAAAATACTTTTCTTCCCTAAATATATATTTTTTTGGTTGCAGGTCCTCAGTGATATATTAGAAGCTCTAGTCGGTGCCATTTTCCTGGACAGCGGCGGTGACCTCTCAAAAGTGTGGTCTGTAATATACCGCATCATGTACAAGGAAATACATTCCTTCTCCAGTCGTATTCCACAACAGCCTGTCAAAGTTTTATATGAGAAAATTCACGCTTGTCCTGTATTTAGGTGATTATTTTTTTTTATTTAAGTTATTCTAATTACATACGTACGAAAATTGCTCATGACTATCGAAGGAACTCTTATAGCCTCTTATTATAAGTTTTATCATCACTGATGCAAAAACATGATATTGGCACCGGCCTATGTGGTTTACCTAGGTACAAAGGTAAGGAATACCTACAGTTTTAGATAACTATACTTAAATTTCAACTAATTGTTAGACCTACATCAGAATACGACTTAAAAGGAAACCTTCTTTCATCCAAATGCAAAATTTGGCGCTTCGATCGCTTGATTAAAGAGAAGTACATACATACATAGTTATTAGTGATGTTATTAAAAAGGTTTCATGATTACTCTAGCGCCATCTGTTATCGTTTACTAGAAGTATACCTAGTATCAATTCATAATGAAAGAATGTATTATAATATTGCATATTTTGCCGTGAGAAAGGAGTAATTTAAAATTTAGCAAAATTTTTATCTTAAGTTATTGGACACTTGATTAGATTTAGGTAATCTAAATTATATTAGAAAATTTAGATACATAGACACAGCTAGAGGTAGCGACCTCTTATCTATGTGAAATTTTAAATCTCTAATTAATTTTTATCTGTCGGCAATTTCTGTGTCTACGGCTACCTACATTTCTCCATGCATCGATTAGTTTGTCTCAAGAATGCATATCTACTTCATTAAAAAGCTATTTCATTTAAAAATGTTTTAGAAACTACAATAAACTGATATAGGTTTAATCTTAATCGATCATTTATTTAAATATTATTTATGTCTGTACGATAAGACATAACGCATCATAACATCATCACGCCTTTTATCGCCGAAGGAGTAGGCCGAGGTGCACATTACGGCACTCAATGCCACTGTACAATGTAACACCCACTTTTCACTGAGTCTCACGTGAGTATTGCAATATACCGGGTACAATTCCACACTCCGTGCTAGTACTGAAATGTTTTTAAAAGCCAGTAGTTAACATAACGCCTTATTCTTTAACCACCTTTGCCTACTCCTCATTCATGTACTTAACACCCTTTTTTCATCAGCTATCTACATAGCTGATGAAAAAAGCAGCTGCAAAACACTACTGTTTTGCTGGTCTTATACTTATTAAAACCTTTCATTTTCTTATCGCTGAGATTTTTTTATGACTAAGATGTGTCTGAAAATTACTTAAGAAGTCGCACATTAAAAATAAATTTTATTTCTTAGGTACACAAAGCTCTTACCTACTGGATAAGTGGATACTACAGGATATAAATAAAGAAAATAGTTTTTGTCAATAAAAAAAACAACTTAAAAAATAGCTTAAAAAAACTATTTTTTGTTAAAAAAAAAAAATTTTTTTGGCCCAATTAATTCTTTTTTCCCAAGTTTAACTTAATATTTAAAACCTATATTTAAATGCTTTAATTAACACGTTAACCGCTGCGTAGGTCACCGGTTACCAACGTTAGCGGAGGATTTGCTTTCAACAGTTTTCTGTCGGCAGTCAAAAGCTTAAGAAATGTCACTTCAGGCCTGCCAACTACACAGGGTATTAAATTAGGCTACTGGAGCAGTTTAGACTGACCTAACCGTTCAGGTCGATGTTAAACCTTAACCGCTTGAATACCGGTACATGAGATACAATAGAAAATACATTCTGCCTCGTATTGATTCATGCTTAGGCGCGACGACTTTAATGTGTCGCGACTTCCTCGCGTATTCACCCCGCTCTACTCGTCGCCTATTGATCCTAGCGTGATGTTATATAGCCTTCCTCGATAAATGGGCTATGCAACACAAAAATATTTTTTCAAATCGACCCAGTGGTTCCATGAATTAGGAGCGTTCATACAAACAAATATACAAACTTATCAGTTTTATATAATAGTATAAGATTATTACTTATAAGATAAGATAACTAAAAATAAAATCGAATAATAAAACAAGGTGAGAGCTTATGTATAACAATAGGCAGAACTATAAAATTATCATTTTTTTTAATTGAATTATTTATAGGTTCTTAATTAATATATTCTTTCTAATAGGGGATCGTTAAAATTAATGAAGTGATAAATTGATAAAAAAGTAAAAAAACTGGCTTCATCCGATTATAACTTGAGATAATTTAGTTTGTTTACTAAGGGAGGTAGGGATAAATGGACCTCAGTAGACCAGTACAGCGCATACATAATTTATATATCAAATGTTCTGACTATTACTTATCTCACTGATCAAAAAATTAATAATTTCAAATTAACTGGCAACCCAGAAGGCTTAGTTAAAGTTCGTTTTTATTTTACATGCGATTGAAACGTCGTGTTACCCACGTTTGGCCTTTTTTCTGGTATAAGCCCGCCACAGCCTCTCAAAACCGCTGCAACTCCTATAATTCAGAATTTATAGTAGTGAAAATACCGGAACACTAAAGTCCGGCGCGTCCCAGGGACATGAATAACTCTCTTGGTACCTGCAATGAAATCAGTCAGAAGATCTTATAAGAGGAGAAAAAAAACGATGATAGTTTCCACTACAAACTTAAATGCCTGTATTAGGAAAGCCCTGTATTACAGGCGAAAGTTATATTACTAGTTACAATGTTACTACTGCACGTTCAGTTCCGCGCGCGCTTCAAAGAGCCATCAGACCACCACGGATGGGGCCCAATAGGGTTGATGCCGATACGAAGCCGCGGAGGCGGGGCTCCGGCTCGAAGGACAGGAGTAGGAATGGGGTGGTTTTTAGTCAGAAAAAAAAAAGTTACCTATATTATTACTGTTTTGTATACTAATACTAGTTATAATAATATTATTAAGGTTTTAAAATTAAACTCCCAAACTGCCTCTCAACAAATTTCAAAAGTGCTTAATTAAGGATTAATTAGGAGATAAAACAGGTGTCTATAGGTTTACTTTATTTAGGTACTTACCTATGACGTATCCTAGTTAAAATTTCCTTTTATTCTTTCACAGGAAAGCAGAAATCATCGATCGTGAGGTACCAAAGCTAAAAGTGGGTGTTACTATCACTAAGAATGATGCCCAGCACACCGTTTATGGTATCGGTCGCAACAAGTCTCAAGCCAAGCGAGCTGCGGCCAAAATGGCGCTTAAAGTCTTAAGCAGTTAAGCCTAAAGAATCTCCCGCCTTTTTTCCGAGGCAGAGATATTTACGTCTACTTTTCGCTAGTTACAGACTATAAATTGTACTCGTTTACGTAATTATTTTTTTACAACTTTATCTGAGGCGACATTCGCCGATATCAAATTGAATTTAAAAAAAATAATTTTTGTTGGATATTATTATTTACTTATTTACCGTGGGATTTCACCCGCTGCTCGGCTCCTATTGATCGTTGCATATGTTTTATAGCATATAGCTTTCCTCAACAAGTGGACTGTAAAATTGAACCAGGAATAAGTTCGAAGATTTCGCACATTCTAACAAACAAACAAACAAACTCTTTAGCTTTATAGTGTAGAATTTATTTTTTTATAACTCCCTATATCATTTTAATGTTATTTTAATATTTTTAATGTTCTAGAAGTAATCTTGTTTTGTCTCAAAATAGTTATTTCCTTTGTACTTGTTTTAACTATTTTATTGTTTTATAATAGGGTTGATGACGGGGTATGAAAATAAAAAATCCGTTTAGTCCGTCAGTTGGGCAATTAAAAAATATTAGACAGGTATTTTTTTACCCTGTCGTGTAAGAATAAAAATATACCTAGAGAAGTGACGTCACACGATATTTCTAATCAATATATCGTCGAAAGTAGGTAATTGCATATACAGGAAAAAACGGACATTAAAAAATGACATGTACCCTATTACACTAGGTACCTATGCTTTTTAGTCATGTATGTAGGTAGATGAAATATTTTTATTTTGTTTATTGATATTAGACTTAGATATTCCGCCTTTACGGTCTGTGTGTAGACTCATAGACCGAAAAAAGGAACTAATATTTTTGTGTCAATTTAAATTGTACAGTACCCGACGATAAATATTGCACACCGACTTTTACAATAACACATGTTTTGTATTAAAATAGTTTTTTTCTCCAAAACTTTTTATTTTCAATCTTATGATTCGAGTAGAATGCTTGAGTATATTGCCTTCTCTTGGCCGATTGTAGATATCGTTCCAAAGGTCGATGTGCAATATTTATCGCCGGATATTGTACTGTATGTATGCTATGACATCTAGTATCTTGTAATAGTCACAGTTTTATAATATATACAGCGTGGATCATAAATATGAATTACTAGCCATTGCCCGCGACTCTGTCCGTGTAGAATAATGACTTCTAGTAGAATTTGTCTTTTTCGAGATATATTCTACGGCTGTAACAAATGTCGTCAAAATCGATTCAGTAAGTACTTAAGTTATAATTTATTATTGTAAAATAAATTTATTTTTGTGGTTTCAAAAAATAAAAATTCCCGAGAGTCCCGGGGCTTAAACGCATAGTTCCTGTTTCTGGGGATAAAATCTATCATCGATACGTCGTTTCCTAGGTCCTAAACTATCGTTGTATCACATTTCACTTAAATAGGCTCAGTGGTTTAAAATGTCCTGGGGATTTTAACTCATAGTTCCCGTTCTCGTGGAAATTCCGGGTTGAAAAATCTCAGACGTCCCTTCCCGGGCCCTATACTATTTAATCTTATTATCAAAATCCTATTACGTTTTCATCATAGTAAGTAGCACCAATCTTTCATTTCAGTCCAATTAGACGGCAACCTATATATATAATTTATACAAAAATACATATCCCTTATTCTATTCTTTAATCTTTATGAGGATGCCTACGTCATAACATGTACCTGCATGCCGCCATTTCAGCGATCCGCCCAGGGTTTGGGCTGTGTTGATAGACCACTATGTCAGTCAGTCACCTTATTTAGATGTAGTCACTGGTCAGTATGCAAATAGTCTAAGATCCGGCTGCAGAATCAGTGTACCCATCGAGTGTTTGCTGAAAACCAAATTTTTACATATATTCATGATTAGGAGAATTAATATCCACCAGGTTGCCTATCAAAATGTGGCCGCTAGTATTTTTAATTAAATTATTAATAATTCATAATCCGTAAGAAATTTCATTGACTTTTTTTTTCAATAAAATGTCGTCTACTTTACGGCAACATCTATAAAGACTCTGAAAAATTATGGTTGCCGTTGCGCACCTGGCCGCACCTCTTCGCAGCCAGGTATACACAGGTATGAATTTGTTACATTTATACACCCACAACGTACATTTATAATTTATATATCAAATTAAAGCAATTTTTTTTCTGTATATTATTATATACGGTTGCTTAATTAAATCTGGCCGCCAATAAGGGTTGCTGGCTAATAAATATAGTAAATATTAAAAGTAGAGTGAAAGAGAGCTAGCGCGTAACACCACTAGTCACTAGGTACGACTCAAAATAATAAATACTCCAAAAGAAACGTCTTTCTTTTCTAAAATAAAAAATTAAAAAGTCAATGACAAATTTAAAAATTACAAAAAAAATTAATATTGATGATAAATAAAATCAAGGTTACTTATGTAAAAAAATTGTGTTGTACAAGTACTGTATGAAAAAAGATTTAATTTTATTCAAGTATTACATTTATTTTACATATTCATCAATCATTAGTTTAAGCAAATTATAAATTTTTAAAATGTATTATATTTGTATTATACTTCCATGACTCTTTTTTAATAAAATGTCATGATATTTATATTTTTTCTTGCGACGAAACAATAACATTAGAGAACACTTTTTGAATGAAGCATTATCAAAGTCTAGTACATTGCATTTTTTGTCGCACAGGAAACACGCCTTCATCCTTATAAATTTTATTTCACTTAAATGAGATTGATAATTTTTCGATGCACAAATAAAACAGCAATATATCATGTTGTGTATTACGTACTCCAAACAGCATGGTTTCGAACTTAAAATAAAAATCACAACTGATCCGTTGAGAACACTAACATCTGACGCATGCGCAATGGCTTTAAACCGTCCGACAGCTGGCAATCGCTATCCTCGTCTGACTAGTGGTGTTACGCGCTAGCTCTCTTTCACTCTACTTTTAATATTTACTATATTTATTAGCCAGCAACCCTTATTGGCGGCCAGATTTAATTAAGCAACCGTATATAATAATATACAGAAAAAAATTTGCTTTAATTTGATATATAAATTATAAATGTACGTTGTGGGTGTATAAATGTAACAAATTCATACCTGTGTATACCTGGCTGCGAAGAGGTGCGGCCAGGTGCGCAACGGCAACCATAATTTTTCAGAGTCTTTATAGATGTTGCCGTAAAGTAGACGACATTTCATTGAAAAAAAAAGTCAATGAAATTTCTTACGGATTATGAATTATTAATAATTTAATTAAAAATACTAGCGGCCACATTTTGATAGGCAACCTGGTGGATATAAATTCTCCTAATCATGAATATATGTAAAAATTTGGTTTTCAGCAAACACTCGATTGGTACACTGATTCTGCAGCCGGATCTCGTACTAAAAGTATATGATATGTTATAATATTACAAATCTATTGCACCGGTAATGAGTTACATAGTTAATATATCATGGGTCCTAACGGTTTTATTTTTTTTAAATTTTAGTAAAAATTTTATTTTGATTAGATTAGAGCAAAATATGCCCGCGATGAGGCATTTTGGTCGCGGGGTCTACTAGCTAATCCTGTGAGTGTAGCTGTCAGTGAAGGTTGTCGTAAAAAATGTTTTATGAACTGCTCATTAGGAAGAACCCCTCTGTGGTTCGAAACTAGTAGAGCTTTTCTCAGTAGGTATATTCAGTATGTCTCACGATAGTTACTATAAAAACATAAAAATATCTTAGACTTTTAAACTTTTGCCTGGACAATAATATTATTTTATATTTACGACCCACGCTGTAGTAAGATGGAAAATGGGAATTATAGAATCACTCTTGTTTTTTTTAAAGTACATAAAAACTTGTTATTTTGGAATAAGCCAATTTAATTTTAGGACTGTTTCATAAGTTCTGGTAAGTTTCAGTTAGTCTAACGAATAACTTGATCTTTGATTCGATAATATGAAATGTTTTAAAATAACTCAGTTAAGCTAACAGCAAGTTTAATCAGTCACTGTGAAACAGGCTCTGGGTTAATTGGAATCAAATCGTTAGTGTTAGTAATTAGTGTAAAAATTTATAAATTAGGCATAAGATTTTGCATGGAAAGGAACTAGAAAATGTGTGATACATTCAAACGTACAGGGAATGTTAAGATATTATGGTTTTTTACTTACAGTTAAAGGAATCAATCAAATGTTCCTTAAACAGGACTCGAATGGAATGAAATGGATGTATTGTTTAAATATGTTTTTAATTGATAGAACGATAATGCGAGTGGGGAAACAGAAAGTGCACTTGTCTTTGCAAAAAACAATTTCTCCTGCGTAATGAGCTAGTCTAGTTAGATCGGCCTCCATGATCGAAATCGTTTGGGAGGATGATAATGGTAGAATTTGTAGAATCCAATACACGACATAATTACCAACCATCTATGTACTTTCAACAGAGCATGTGTCTGCCAGTGCTATGTAAAAACAAGTAAATATGTACATGACACAAATTAAAAATAAATATCCATGTATATATACTGTCTGTGTAGAATTGGGTACTTTCCAACTAGTCAAAAAAAAATAATTAAGGAAGTGATGTGGTTAAATTGAATGTGTGCGTTACCCAGGCAAAATGTTTTGCTTTAGAGAGATGAGACTTAAACAAATAATTAGTGTATCATGAGGAGCAATTTGTTTACTAATAGCAAAATTTGTTTGAATTGTAGTTTTTAAGTTATTTGAGAAAAACAAATTTTGCTGGAGTAACGTTTGAAACGTTACCCAGGCAAAATAGTCTTTCAAAAATTAGTTTCAGCACGGAACCAAATACATGAATAGATAGCTTTTGTTGCGTAGTAAATGTTTATAAATAGCAAAATTTGTGTGTGGTATAGTTCTTTAGTTATTTAAGATTTTGCTGCGGTAACGTTTTGGGATTTCCCAGATCTCGAAAACGGCTCAACGCAGAAGTTTGAAAAAAATACCAATAAAAGACCTCAATTTGTTTAAATTTGTTTAATCATTAGTTTTTGATTTGGTTGACGTAAACCAATGTAATTAAATGGTTTCAAAAATCAGAAGAAACGGGTTTGCAAGTAAACCAATACACTTATAACCAAATAAACAGCTGTAAAAAATACCCGTGGTTCGACGCTTGTTTACATCAGAAATATTAGATTTCATACTTTACACATTAAGAAGATAAAAACAAATTTGATTTATTTTAGACTGGTCGTACTTTAGCGATCAAATACGCAGTTCCCATAACATTAAGAAACATGGCATACTTTAAACAAATTAAAATGATTCCTGAAAATTCCTTCCTGTTAATTGCAGCTTTGAATTACGGCTCTAATGAAAGTTATCTCAAAAACAAGATTATGTCAGCAATTCTCTAATGAGCCGACCAAATTGAAAAGGTCACATAAAAGCGACCGCACCATACATAAGCGCAACCATCTGAAATGAACAGGATAATATAGATGTTTTGTTAGTACAGTTGAATACAAAAGTTTTCTGGTCAGGTTAGTTAAAAT